TAAATATTCATTGAAAAAGTCTCATAATCTATCTAGTGTGGCTCAGTTGGTTGAGCATGGTCCCATGCATGAAGAGGTCACTGGTTCGATTCCCAGTCAGGGCACATGCCTGGATTGCAGGGTTGACCCCCCCCAGTAGGGAGGGTGCAGGAGGCAGATGATAGATGTTTCTTTCTCATCAGTGTTTCTATCTCTCTCTTCCTCTCTGTCAATAAAAACATTTTTTTAAAGAAAAAGTCCAATGAAGAAAGAAACACAGCTTTTTGAAAACCCATAGTAAACTGAAATAGATTGAATTTGTAAACAGGCTTATTTGAGGAAGGTTTCTTTGACCATGATCTGAAGGGGAGTGAGAGTTAAATGGCATAGTGTGACTTCAGTAGAAATAAAAAGCATATTAATTGTAATTTTAGCTCAAATGCTATTAACGAGATATACTAGTATTATCACAATTTTCATTAGACACATCATGATTAGTAATTAGTTACAACAACTCTCAATTTGGCACATTCTTGTCATATATCTAACAGCAAAATTATGGGCTTATTATTTCAAATGGAGAAGAATGATATTTTGTGCACCATAAAATAGAAGAGCTAAGGAAAGAGTAATAGCAAGTGTATAAACTTGAGATTATAAATTTATAATCTTAGTAAAATAAAAACTTATTTATATGAATGTAAAGATTAATTTTGTGAAAACAAGAAATTCTAAAAGCACATTTCTTAGGCCTCATTCAAATATGTCAACCCAATTCAACTCTTCTTTTGATCTGAATTTAAAACGAGAAGTACAATGGGACAATATAAGGGACAGGAACATTAGAACATTTTAGATTTGTTTCTGGGCTGTCACCTCAAAGTGCCTGCATTGGAGGGAAGGCTAGTAATTTAGTAGAAATAGGACATCATTTGAATTAAAGTTGAACTTAAAGCCAAATTCTTTTTCCTCAATTTTTCCCAACTGGATAAAATTTCTCTGTCAGCAAATTCTAGTAATTGAAGTTGGTGATATTTAACCATATATTATATGTTTTAAAAGTACCGTATTTTTCGGACCATAAGACGCATGGGACCATAAGACGCACCAGTTTTTAGAGAAGGGAAATGAAGAAAAAAAGATTCTGAAACAAATAGTGTCCTAAAATATTTTATGTGCATTAAAACCCAACATCACAGTCATAAACACATGTAATCAACCCTGTAAAGTAAACAGCAGCATTTAGAACCATTTTAGAGCCGGGCAAGCACACAGAGACCACACAGAGCCGGGCAAGTAAAAAAACTTTTTTTTTACAGTATATGTGTAGGCTATATTTGGACCATAAGACGCAGGGACTTCCCCCCCCACACACACTTCTGGGGGGAAAAAAGTGCGTCTTATGGTACGAAAAATACGGTACATTACTTTCATGTTCTGCATCAGTTTACACTTGCTGTTTACCAAACCACCCAAAAATTTAATGGCTGAATACAACAGCCATTTATCTAGCTCACAACCATTTAATTAGCTCAATGATATGCTTGCCTTGCTATTCTGTTGATCTAGGTCAAGTTCAGCTGATATTGGCTAGATTGGCTCAGGCATTTGAGATGAGCTTGACAGTAGGCTTGGGGGTCTGGTCTTAGATGGCAGTTGGCTGGTTATGGGGTCACATGTCTCTCATCATCTAGCAGGTGGCCTGTGCTTCTCCCCATGCATACTAAGTATTAAAAACATCAAGAGGGCAAGGTCCACTGTGTAAGAACTTTTCAAGACTACTCAATCACTTCTGCTACATCCAATTGACCAAAACAACCCACTTCAGATGGGAAGATCTGTAACACTACCATTAATATAGAATTTGTGGTCATTTTCATAATTGAGAACATTCTTGGATTAAAAAAAATAATAACAAGCATTTCCTTTAAATCCTAATATCAATGCCTATCATATATGAAAGGCACTCATTTCTAACCAAATACATTACTAAATGAACAGACCCCTATGTCAGTTCAATTCATATCTTACACTGCATGACAATTTAAGTACCAATTAACTTTTTGTTGTAGTTGTTAGAACTTTAATGCCATTTTCATAAAAATTGATCAAAGGAAGTAGAATATCTCAAGTTCTTGATTGGGCAATATGATCCCTGTGAATTACCTATTTCCGAACCTGATTTTGTTGCTGTGAAAACATCTCCCTGTTACTGTATGCAGCAAATGACTCCTCTGGCTCTGATGATCTAGAAGCTTCTAGACCTCAGTTTGTAAAGATTTATAAAAATAACCTAGTTATTTATTATCAATTATGATTAATAAAGAGGGTTATCAGTTAGTCCAAACAAAAGAAAAATACGTAAGTAAAGTACTATTCTTGTAAAAAAAAATATGGTTTAGCCAAAACCAGTTTGGCTCAGTGGTGGAGCATCAGTCTGCAGACTGAAGGGTCCTGGGTTCGATTCCGGTCAAGGGCATGTACATTGGTTGCAGGCACATCCCCGATGGGGGATGTGCAGGAGGCGTCTGGTCAATGTTTGTCTCTCATCGACGTTTCTAGTTTTCTATCTCTCTCCCTTCCTCTCTATAAAAAATCAATAAAATATATTTAAAAATATATATGTGGTATAGGCCCAGGTTATATATAAGTTAATTGGCTCTATTGAATGTTCACTTTGTTGGTTAATTCTACATATGTCATAAATCTTTAGATATGTATTGAAATATTTGCTCATACAACTAACTCATTTAAATAAAGCAAATAATGAAAAAAATCAAAGATAAAAAATCTAAACAAAAATTTTTATTTTATTGTTTACAATAATTCATAGAAAACATTATCATCAACCCCGGTGCATAGCTTTGCATGGTCAATATCAGATCTTCCTATTAGAGATGGGGTCAAAATGATCCTAAAATTCACTGGTGAATATAATCTGAATCAGAGTTGGGCATTAAGGTTGAATAATGAAACCAAATTCTAAGCATTCAGAACATTGGATATAAGACAGAATACAAATTCAGAAAGATTAGATAAAGTAGTTAGTAGAGACTGATGGTATCCTGATTACCTAGTATTTATTTTTATAACTTTATATATTCAAAAGGTGGGCTGAATATTTTAAAAGGTGAAAAATTAAGGGTGGAACAGCCAAACTTTGACACTAAGAATCATCAAAATGTGAAGCAATTTAAAATGGCAGCTATATAATGTCCTCTGGAAAGAATCTAGTTTAAGGAGTTTTAAAGGCAGTTGTCCTTGAAGATAATTTAGTAAAGTCATGAAATGACATCTGTGTTTAAATTAAATATATTGTACTTTAAGTGTATAAAATGGTGAGTCATGTCTTCAAAACTTAAAGTGACCTGAGATTTTGTACATATTAATATGCTATTTTAAAAAATTCTATAGAATATCCTGCTTCAAGTTCTACAAATTAAAGACTGACAGCATCAGCAATCTGACAAAGGTAGATAAGAATATGTTTAAGAAAAATATTTGTAATAATAATATTAGTATCATTAATAATAGTTCACATGTCTTGGATACTTCTTTGTCATGCACTGTATATTATATTACTTGATCTTTACAAAAAATTGTCCTGGATAGCTATTCTATTTTTCTCACTTCAAATATAATAAAATTTAGAAAAGTCAGATAATTTACCCAATATTAAGATGCTGTAAAACTACAGGTTTTATATCAATATTAGTAAAATTTAAAATATCAATGCCCTTCAGAAATTAATACATGCCAGATTTGAAAAAAAAAATAATCTTGAAAAATATAGTAATGTCTTCTCAATTATAATTGGCTAGGTGAAAATAAAGAAAATTCCACATAGTAAGAGAGTTTATAGATGACAAATTAAAGCTTGTATAAAGAAAACTTTATTAAAATCGAAGACTGGCAAAGTTACAAATATCCTTATAAATGTCTGTATAATCATTTAACATAGTAACATCCATTTTATTGAAGATGTATTGTGTGCCAGGTCCAATACTAAGCACTCTTTGTAAATTGGCTCACTTAACTTGTACAACTACCCCAGATTCATGACCAAACTGTGGGAGTAAGTGTTCAAACCAGAGAAACCGATCTGTTTGTAAAGCCGATGTTCTCGGCCATTGTGCTGTAACCAGGGGCACCCACTTTCATGTTTCCATTTATCAGGCTTTGCACACTAGGGACTTTTTGGGAATATCCTTTCCCTACAGTTTGTATAAAATACTTGAAAAAATAGGCAAATGCACATTTTGAGAGGTCTAGTACATAAATATCTTTCTATTTATGTCTAAGAGGCACTGACTCATCTCAAATCTCGTGGATTTGAGATGCAGAATCATTTGTATGCTTGAGGAAGAGTCACCTCTGCGATCCTCTTCACCTCCCACGTTTTCTCTGCAGTAACGACTCCTATTCCATCTGATTCAACAGTGCTCTCTTTCCCCACCCCAGTCCCAAGTCTCTGTTTTGTTAATTAACCTTGACTAGAGTGACTGGCAAGTTAGTATATTGGAACAGAAACGTTTGACATTGAGGAAAAGATATGCAGAAGTAAGACTATATGCCCCAGAAAGACAGGTAGGGAAAGCTCACAGGGAAAGATTTGCATAAACATCACCATAACCAATTTAAAAGAAATAGCCTTTCCGTTTTACAGTTATTGATTTTATAGCTGCAGAAACAACATAGACTGTAGCAATTACAGGTTTCATAAAACAGTTTGCAGTTATATTTTAAAAGAAGAATGTTTGTCATTAAATTCCCCTTACACTAAATGTAAACTCATTAGACTTCACATAAGTAATAAAAGTATCTTTAAATACATCAGTGTGGGCTTAGCTCATGATAAACATATTAATCAATGTACCATTTTCTGGCAACCAATTTTCCCTCCAACCATGTGTCTACTTAAGTTAATATAACTTTCCAATTTATATCAAGACAGAAATATTCCAAACAGCATGACATCAAATATCACCTGCAAAACAGCAAATGTATTTTTAAACACTTACCCACTCTTGGTAAGTCAAGTGTAATCAGCTCTGCAAAAACTCCATTAATCTGGGATTAGATCTGAGTAAATTGGATGTCTGCTGATCCTTTCAAGAAAGTGTCCCAAGAAAAGGTGCAAGTTGTAATCATAGATGGCTCCCCAGAGCACTGCTCACTATGTGCTGAAATACAGAGGGGCCAAAACAGAAATGCCACTGTTAGCAGAGCTTCCTCATTACCTTCTTAAAAATATAGACATACTTTTTATTGATTTCAGAGAGGAAGGGAGAGGGAGAAAATGTTAAAAACACCAGTGATGAGAAAGAATCATTGATCAGCTGCCTCCTTCACATCCCACACCAGAGATTGAACCCATAACCCAGGCATGAGTCCTGACAGGAAATCGAAACATGACCTCTTAGTTCACAGGTCAATGCTTAACTACTAAGCCATATTGGCCAAACTTCATCATTAACTTTTCACTATTATTTATACACTACAGGCCCAGCGCACAAAATTCATGCACTTGGGGAGGGTTTCTCTCTCAGCCCAGCCTGCGCCCTCCCCAATCTGGGATATCCCTCTCACAATCCAGGACTACTGGCCTCACCACTCGCCTACCTGTCTGCCTGATTGCCCCTAACCACTTCTGCCTGCCAGCCTGATTGCCCCCTAACCACTCCCCTGCCAGCCTGTTTAATGCCTAACTGCTCCTCTGCCAGTCTGGTCGCCCCCAACTGCCCTTCTCTGCCAGCTTGGTTGCCTCCAACTGCCCTCCCCTGCAGGCCTGATGGCCCCCACCTGCCCTCCCCTGGCAGCCATCTAGTGGCGGCAATCTTGTGCATCGCCTGAGGACATAAGGGCCACATAGGCTTTTATTAGTATAGATGGAAAACTACAAGAAGAGCAGCCTTACTCTTATGTTTTAACTCATAATTCAGAGGCAGGCTACTCAAGTCATCAAGAGCATGGGCTCTTGGTCAGATCACCAAGCTTAATGTTTCCGCCCAGCCAAAGAGCATAGCTTGTTCTTTGGACAAGCTATGTAGGCCCTCTGCAGAGAACTGTGACAAGAATAATTCAATTAATATGAGTTAAGTACTTTTAGCAGTGCTTGATAAATAGTGCTTCCCTATATTTTATTCCTTCCCTTACATTTTTTTCTGTTCTTGGTTAAAACTTAGGAAAGAAGGCAGAGAGCATGCCCACTTATTGAGCACCTATAATAATAAAAGCCTAATATGCTAATTAGACTGGATGTCCTTCAAAAAAAAGTCAGGGCTGTAGCCATGGGATCAAGGAAGTCACCGTGGCTGTGAGGGAGGGATTCAGATCACCACCCGTGGTTGGGAAGGCCTACTCTTGCACGAATTTCATGCATTGGGCCTCTAGTACAATATAAAAATTATCTCACTTGATCCTTAAATGGGATATTATTTCCGTTTTAAAAGTTAGAAAACTGAGATTCAGGGAACTAGTAATTTGTCAAAGTCAACTATAAGAAAGGAGTAGAGTTGGGACTTAAACTATCAAAGTCCTTGCTACTTCTGAACACTTTTGTACTAGAGGGGTGATTTGTTGTATTTTGATTCTGTTCACAGAGAAACAACAAACACAAAAAAATCTAATTCTTAAATTATTAAATATTAAAATATTAAAAAATCTATTTCTTTTATAAACTTTGACTTACATTTACTTACACTAAATTTTAAGAGGCAGAGTGACTGAGATGAAAATTAGCCAGCAAAAATTCAGCACATAAAACAAATTTAAACAATATTCAAAGAAATTTCTCTATTTGCCTCTCTATCATAAGATACTTAGTGACATTTACCTCCATCAAAATATAACTAACAAAAAAGGCAACTTTTCAAATTGCTTATAGTCAAATTTATAGATTAAGACCATAAAGTCAAGTTGATAAAAATTACTTTTTCATTGTAAATTTACTATCTTTATTAAAAATATGCAAATAGTATAAAATAAATAAATATATGTAATTATAATTCTACCATATCATCATAGTTGTTGCTAATAATGTGGAATATTTTTCTTCTAGACTATTTTTCTATGGTTAGTTATTTTTTTTCTGGAGTCATAACACAATATTGTGTCCTATTTATTTTATGACATAATATAAACAGTTCAAGGTTTAGTAGTTTATAAACATTTTCTTTATTAAATAAAGTAGCAATACACATTTTACATAAAAGTTTAACTTTTAATATTTTTATTACTATGAAATTCAGATCTAAAATATCTTTGATGTATGAAAATCCATCCCCAAATCTCTTTTGAAGATTAAGATTAAGAAACCAGAACCTAGTGGGGAGCATTATATAATATAGCCAATATATCCCATATAATACTTTAAGCTAGTTACTATAATTAATCCCATTTTACTGATTAGGACACTGAGGCAAAAAGAACCACATGACTTGCTGAAATCCATATAGGTATGAAGTGACAGAACTCTGACTTTAATCCAGTCTAACTACAGTATCTGCATTCTTATGTCAGAATTCTTTTTTCTTTAAAAATATATTTTATTGATATTTTACAGAGAGGAGGGGAGAGATAGAGAGCTAGAATCGTCAATGACAGAGAAACATCGACCAGCTGCCTCTTGCACACCCCCTACCAGGGATGTGCCCGCAACCAATGTACATGCCCCTGACCGGAATCGAACCTGGGACCTTTCAGTCTGCAGACCTACGTTCTACAACTGAGCCAAATCGGTTTCGGCTTATTTCAGAATTCTTAATCACTATGCTTCACTCTCAGAAGTAGAATTTCAAAATTAATAAACACTTTATAATATTGTATACTGATAGTCTTCTTAAGTATGGTATTTGTACCAATAGTGACTGGGAACAACAGGAATTTCATATCATCACTCTCATTTGGTTATACCTATTATATTTTAAATTTTTGGTATTTGGTAGGCAAAGAAAATTAGTTCTGTGGTTTGCTTTGATTTTAACTTGCATTTCCTGATGATGATGAGCATGTTTGCTTATTTTTGTCATCACATTTGTTTTTTCTTCCTTCAATTATCTTTACAGAGCCTTTGGATACTTGGAGTGATAATTATCTATTGGGATATTCCTATTCCTTGTGCTTTTTTTAATTGATTACATATGTGTCCATATCCCCCATTGCCCTCCCACCCCATTCCTGTACATGCCCTTACCCCTCTGCTGTCTCTGTCCATTGGTTATGCTTATATCATGCAAGGCCTTTTCCAGGCTTGTCTCTGTCACCCATCAGCCCCAGGCTACTGCCATTTCCCACCTGTGAGATGTGGTAACTGTGGTAATGTTCATCCAGAAGAAGTCTCCTTTCCAAGTCCCTTCAATCTGGAGAGGCAGGATTTCCTTCCCTCCTTCCCTCTCTCCCTTCACTGGTCCTCCTTCCCTCTTTTCCTCCCCACTCCCACCATTCACTTGGGAACTGCTGAGAGGAATTATTGGGAAACCCCTTGGAATGTTCTGCAATGATTCTTCTTTCAGTTCAGCTTCTCACGACTCGGAAACATCCCATAATCTCCAACACTGGTATCTTTCAGAAACTCCAGACTCCCTGCAGTTCATTGCATTCTACCCACTCTTATCATCTACCACCATCTTGGGCATTCTACATTGCTCACTTAGTGAGTAAATTTTGTTCATTTTGTGAATAACTCATCCAGCATTCCCAACCTCTGATGCTTTTCTCAGCACCCCTGCCAACCTTTGGCTTTAGAGAGAATGAAAAGTCAAAGCAATTACTCTTTCTATAAATCATCTTCAACACACTCAAATGTCTAGCAGTCTAAGCTGGAGATGACACCTAATGAACTGTCTCTCAGCCAGTCTTGCTCAAAATTTGATGATATGTCAAAAAGACAGAAGAGTCAGCCCGAAGGCGCTCCCAATGGCCAAACCTACGATAAAGTGAACAACAAACAATAATTAATTTCATCTTGTGGAATAAAATCTATATATTCTTGATTCATCCCCAAAATAATTATTTGAATGAATAAATAAGAATAAAGCAGTTTATTTTTATAAATCCTCACCTGAGGATATGTTTATTGATTTTAAAGACAGAGGAAGGCAGAGAAAGAAAAACATCAATGTGAGAGAGAAACATTGATTGGTTGCCTCCCCTAGGTGCCCCAACTGGCGATCAAACCTGAAACCTAGTATGTGCCCTGAAGGGGAATTAAACTGTAACCGTTTTGGTGTACAGGATGAGGCTCTTACCAACTGAACCACCAGCCAGAGAATTCAACTAATATAGAAGGGATGATGCAAATAGAAAATTAACATCTTGCAAATACCCCAGTAATAGTTGTTGCACAGGCAAGAATCACTCATAGAGGCTAAAATGAGTATATGCGAAAACTGGATACTCGCATAGTCTCAAACTGTCTCCCCCACAAAATATTTATTATCTGCAGAGGAAAAAATGTAAGTGGGGAAAACTGGCAGATTTCATCACAATCAAGTGTTCAAGCTTAACACCACCAAGAATAAGACATGTCAACATCATGTGTGTTTCTCCTAATATGACACACTTTTGTCACATCTTTGTTTCTGTTTTATTCTTGCCAAAAATGAGTAATCTGAACTTAACAATGAAGAAACATCAGACAGACTCAAATTTAGAGACACTGCAAATTAACTGGTTAGCACTATTCCAAATTGTCACGGTCATGAAAAGAGACAAAATCTAAGGACATTCCCCAAATCAAAGGACACTAGAGACATGAGAACTAAATTCAATGTATAATACTGGATTTAATCCTAAATTAGAAAAAAATAACATTTATGGTATAATCTGCAAAATTTAAAGAATCTTTATAGAATGTTTTAATGTTAATTTCATGATTTTAAAATTGTGCCACAGTTTATGTAATACATCAACATTTAGTAAAGCTGGGCAATGAGTATATAGAAACTTTGTAAAATTTTTTAAATGTTTTCTAACCCAACTTATTTTAAAATGAAAGCTTAAAAACATTTTAAAAGCCCCTAGAAACAGAAGAGCAAACTAAATTCAAAGACAATAGATAAATATTATAATAAGTACAGAAATCAATTGAGTTAAAAAAGATATATAATGAAAATAACTATGTCAAAAATTGTTTCTAGAGACTCTTAGTAAGACTGATCAACAAGGAAAATAAAATTTAGCA